ACCTTTTAACCTTTTATCTTAATAAGTTTATAAATTTTAATTTCTCACCTTATGTTATGATTTATAAATTTATTAAGATAAAAAATTAAAAATATATATCATAAATGAGAAACTAAAACCGATAAAATTGTTAAAGTAAAGAATTAAAAATAAATTTTAACCTGAAAACCGAATTGCAATAATTTAATAAAAAATATAATTTTGGATGAAATACTCAGAGTATCGAGATTCTGCCACGTGACCACACTCCAGATTCCTTGGCTTCAAGATTACAAATATCTGTCGGTTACCTATTTACAAAAGTAATTAATATATTCTCTATGATTAATACTCTTAAATATTTTTTTTTTCTAAATACTTACAGATTAAAATATTGTTAAATCGCACCTGGACCTAGAGGCCCATTGACATTAGTAAGCTTGTTAGGTGCATTCCCCCCTCCCCTGGGCGGGTTTCGAACCCATCCCGTGTCAAAATGTTCAAAAAAAAAAAATATTGTTAAATCGGATTTTTAGATTTAATAATTCATCTCAAATCTTAATATTTGGATTTAGTTAGATAGGAGTTCGACTCCACCAATGACTTAAAAAAAAATTCCTCATTTTTCAAAATTTTTCCACGTTCAAAAAATAAAAAAAATTTTATTAATTTATATATCAGAATGTTTACCCAAAGTCGATATCTTGGGTTTGTCTTGCAAGACTACTTGGACTTGGTCAATAAGATTGCTCAAATTTGTGCAGCAACACCCTACTATAATTTCCGTTAACTGTGGTAGATTGAAGAATTGAGTAGAATGGGTATTTTATTCAATAAAGTAGTCCTATCACCTTCAACAAAAAAAAAAAACAATAACTTGAGAAGATATAAAATCTAGACCTAAACTTTTCTCTTTTCTAGTTCTCTGACTTCTCTAGCTTTCACTATTAGACGACTGACCAGCATTAGAGCCATTTTGTATTTGTGTAGGTTTTGAAACATGGTTGGAATCATCAATGAATTTATTTTCAATAAATTCCACATCCTTTGATTCAACTATTATATTTGAATCAAATTCAAGCAATCTATATGCTTTAGAAATTTCAAAGTATCCTACAAAATTCCTTTTAATAGCTCTTGGTCCCACTTTAACTCTTTTGGGATCTGACACCTTATAAAATGCTTAACAACCCCAAACTTTTAGATAATTTAAATTGGGTTTTCTTTCTTTCCATTTCTCATATGAAGAAACATTTGTCCTTCTAGAAGGAATTCTATTGTGTATATGGGGAGCCGTAAGCAATGCTTCTCCCCGCAAATTTAATGGCAATTTGGCATTCAATATCATGACATTAACCATATCCACAAGTGTTCTATTTTTTCTTTTTGCCAAGTCATTTTGTTTTGGTGTATATGGTGCACTTGTTCGATGTATAATTCCATTTTACTCACAAAAAGAAGAAAATTCATTTGACACGTATTCACTACCTCTCTCACTTCGTAGAACCTTGATCTTCATTTGCTTTTGATTTTCAACTATACTTTTGTATTTCTTGAACATATCAAAAGCTTCATCTTTAGTTCTCATTAGATACACAAATGTATACTTCAAATAATCATTAATAAAAGTGATGAAATACCATTTCCCACCTCTTGTTAGAACACCATTTAACTCACATATGTTAAAATGTACAGGTTCTAAAAAATTAGAATTTCTTGTAGCCATTGGAAAGGGCTTCTTCGTCATTTTGGCTTGAATACAAATCTCACATTTTCCTTTGTTCTCATGATTACATGTAATCAATCCTTGTCTAGACATTAGTTTTAAAGATTCAAAATTCAAGTGTGCTAATCTATCATGCCGCAAGGATTAAGAAAAGTCAACAATATAAGCAAAAACAAGTGACTTATCATTAATACTCAACTTGAACATACCATTACAAGAATATCCCTTTCCAACAAACACCCCATTTTTTGACAAAATTACATTATTAGACTCTAACACTGCCTTAATCCCTTTCTTACTCGAGATTAGTAGAAACAATATTTTTTCTGATGTGAAGGACATGAAGAACATTAACAAGTAAAAGTTTCTTTCCGAAAGTAAACTAAAGTTCCACACTTCATTTCCCAAAGGCTCTTGCAGTATTGTGGTTTCCCATGAATACTTCTTGTCCTTCAAGAGCATCTGAATAATCTTTAAATTGTGACTTGTCATTGCAGACGTGTACTATAGGACTAGAATCATACCACCAATCAAGTGACTTGGTTGTAGTTGCCATATTAAGTTCATAACCATGCTTATATGCATGTTAGTGACCATGGCAACCAAATCCAAGTTTTCAGTTTCTACCATATTGGCCTCGTTGGAGTCTTCTTTCCTTTGCCTCTTAAAAAACTTGCAGTCACCCTTAAGATGATCTTTCTTTCCACAATGATAGCAACTTCGGACTGGTGGAAATTTATCATAGTTATTGGTGTTGCAAGAATCAAAGAATTTCCTCTTGTTTCCACCATAGTTTCTTTTGGCTTCCTTCTTAGTATCTATAAAATTGACCTTAGAACTTGATCCAGTATGTGTAGCACTCTTCTTGTCTCGGTTACAAGTTTCTTCTTCAACTCTCAAGTGCTTCTGGATATGTTCTAAAGTGAAGTCCTCTGTGGTATGTAACAACTTTTTGTAATTATTCCAACTAGGAGGAAGTTTTGCAATTATAGCCCCCACTTGTAATCTTTTTGGGACCTCCACTTTCAAGTCTTTTAATTTAGATAGTAATATTTGCAATTCATGGACTTGATCTATAACAAACATATCATCTATCATAGAAAATTCAAAATACTTCATAATAAGAAATTTACCTGCACCTTGTTTCTCTATGATATATTTGCTTTCTAGAGCCTTCCAAAGTTCCCTTGGAGATGTGACTGAAGTATAAAGATTATAGAGTTGATCCAATAAAGTGTTCATGATATGGCCTCTACATGGTAATTCATCTTCTTCTCATTTCTTATGTTCTACTTTCACTTGATTATCATTTTCAACAGTTGGTTCAGGAACATCCAACAGACTTGGATCAAGGATATAGGCAACTTTCAAAGTAGTGAGTAAAAATATCATTTTGTCCTTCCAGCAAGTATAATGTGAACCATCAAAATGACCCAATCTGACAAGATCTTGATTCATCATCTTATAAGCAGTTTGAGTGCTAGACCTCATTGAGAAAAATACACCTAAAATTGTTAATTGTAGTACATTAAAGAACTGAAATATGTGGCTTTGAAGCATGTTGAGTACACTATCTTTTAGGTGAATTTTGCCCCTACTCAATTAGAGTTTGCTGTTGGGTTGATGACAAAAACACCTCCAAGATCCAACAAAACCACTTGAAATCTTAATTAGCAAATTCTCAAGACTTCTCTTTTGAACTCTCTATAAAAAATTTGAATATGAATTTGAGAAGGATGAGACGCAAGAGAGCAAGAAGTCAAGTTATCTTTCTACAACTAAAGAGTTGTATTTATATAGCAAAAGGAAGAGACTTTTGGTTTTGGACATGTTTGTAAATCAATAGACTTATCCTTTGGCTAAGCAATTGGTTAACTACTAACTTGTATTCAAAATTTAAATTCAAATTTTGAACAATTATCCTTTCACTGCCATTTGATCCATTCCTTTACTCCCTTTCATTGTCCATTCTTTATTCCTTCTATAGAATATATACTTGTTATTTTACAATCTATAAAACTTATCATCAATTTCAAGTTTTTCAATCTCGAAAGGCTTAGTTGGCCAGAGCAAAAGAATCTCGAACGGCTATGGCATGGCATGGCATGGGCGTGGTTATAATCAATCACACCTCCACTAGACAGCTTCGGGCCTATTAAGAAGTGATTTTGGGCTTGGGCCCATATGTTGAATAATTGGGTTTGAGCTCTGACTCCTGCTCAATGAAATTGTCCTTTTTTACTAAATAAAAAGTCTATGATGCACGAACTTCACTGGGCTGAGCCCACCAACAGGCAAGTAGCAGTAATTCAAATCTAAGTAACCCATATTCCGGACTAATAAAACAGCTAAGGGAAGCTTTATGCCTTCATCTGGGCCAAGGTGATTGGATTATGGCTTTATGAGGCCCATGGTGTTTGTTTCATTTCATGATCTGAGGAATGCCAACAACACCATTTTCTGAGTTCTTTAATACAAGTTCAATGTCACATTTATTTAAATGAGTTAATAACAATTTAACGCGTAATCAAGAGTCAGAAGAGGTAAGGGTGACTTGGAACGAAACCCATTTTATTATAATGTTTACATGTCAAAATTCCATTGCATATTGTAATAGTTTAGATATGCCACTACTGTATGGTAAATTTTTGCCCCATTAGTAGTCCCCTCCAATCAATCTGAGATGGCATACGTTGAAAAGGTAAATTGGCACTCACCTCCCTTGTGATTCGAGTCATATGCACTTTATGCTTACAATTTATAAAAATGTGTACGTAACTCCTTTGCTCTATCTGTATGGGATCTCATTCCAACTTTGAGTTTACAAAATTCAAATTCTGAAACAGAATGCAAGGATTTGCAGAAAAAGCAGGACTGTCCCTTATCACGTTGTTCACTTCAAATAAAATTTTATAATTTGATGATAGAAATGATTCAATTGTAATATTATAATTGTATAATTTACTTTAAATAGTAATTTTTATTAAGTATGTTGTGTAGGATGTTAAATTAAAATGCATATCAATTAGTGTCATTGTTTTCAATATGTTTTAAACAAAATAATATGTCATTAAATGAGTAATTTAATATAATTAACTATTTTTATTTGTTATAAAGTATGTGAAATAGTATATATCTATTTGTTTGATAATAACCGGTACAAAGCATTAAAAAAAATAACACTATAAAGAGAAAAACATTGTTGCTGAATCATGAATGATAACGATTAAGGATCTCTTGTTGCTGAATCGTGAATGATGATGTGCGATTCAGGATCTCTCTCTTTCTTTCATACACCTTCTGAAAATTGTGACTTTATGCAATCATTCCAATATCTAGAGGCAAGTCAAAGATACAAGTTTTAAGCAAACTTGTCCGGAAAACTACTTCACCAAACAAATGTTGACTTCTATACGAACAAATCAAAATTTTAATCTAGGAAAATTGACCACTTAAAACTCCCCTGATTTCATATTTCTCTGAATACATGGAACTTGCTTATACTTCAAAGAACAAAGCACATGCTGCCGCCGTCTTTTCTGGTCTGTGTTATTTCTTCCTTTGAACTTCTTTATCTTTCCATTGCACATGAGCTCCAATGGAAACACAACTAACGCGTACCTATACCTGTACGAAACAGTTAAATATATCTCTCTAATCTCTGTTCCATTTGTTTAACAGCAAGGTATGATCAATTTGCAAATAAATCGCGACAGCCGCCACCCTGCAATGACAAGGAACCCTGAATTTGTATTTCTTGCCTTGTCTAGAGGACGGTAGTTTTGGAATTAGCTGGTCTTAATTCAAAACCGATAAGCAAGATGAAAAATTGAAGCAATCTCATAGACCATCTCAAATTGCAATTAATCGATAAATTTAATGATCTTTTTTCAAGAAAAAGAAAATAAAAATTTATTTTTCAGTTCAAATTATAAAACAAAAATTATTGGATAGAAGAGGTCTTTAATATTAAGAGATTTACCTTTTATCCAATAATTTTAGTTTTACAGTTCAAATTGCATAATAGTTTTATTCTTTTTATTTTTTTAAATTACTCTCTCTATTTCACATTTGTTCATTTTGGCAGAGAAAGCACTAGGATTAAAGAAAATAAATAAATCATTCATGATTTAAGGGATAAACATATTTATAGTACTAATTTGCACTTTTGAAATTTATTTTTTACTCTTTGTTTTAATAAAGGAGATTATTAGTGTTTGAGTGTAAAATAAGAAAATAGTTAATTAATGTTGTACTAAAAATTGAAAATGACAATTAAAATGAAAAAAAAAAATCAGCTAAAATTTCTATTAAAGTGGAACAAAAGGAGTAGTATCAATTGGTCTTATGATAACAAACCAGATCATACTTCCTAGAAAGAAACTGTAAGTTTTTGTGTCATACAAAAGTGTCACCACCAAATACAATTAATAATTTGAGCTTAGTTTTTAAGTGCTAAATTTCAATCTAAAAAGTTATTAACCCGATTTGATTAAGTCAGTTTAATTGGGATTAGAACAGTCAATACAATACAGACTACATTTGACCATTAATTGTGGACGGCTGAACTTGATCTTGCAAATCTTTTACCATATAAAACAACCCTTTGGGTGTCTTTTTCTTTGCGAGATTGTCCCTATCCAAGTCACTGAACTACTATATTATTTACCTGGCCCAAGAAAATATATGTTTGTATGCCTATTGCCTGCAAACCTTTCTGAAAAATCAAGAAAACATGTTAATTTTAAAGAAAAATGAATTAGATTTTCCCGGTTTCGTCAAGGATACCTACATATATAATTTTACAGCTTTTTACGTATAGAATTGTTCAATATACATTGCAAGCAAAGACAATTCATAACATCCTTTTCGTATCTTGCATTTGTATTTATATATTGTCCATTTTGCAAACAATCAATTCCATTCATTCTCCTACTTAAAGGCCTTAGCATATGACCCTTAAATTCTCCGATCCCAAACCAGAGGAAGAAAAGAATCACTGAAATGGCCATGGAGATCAAGGTATTGCTTCTATTAATCATCTCCTTCACATCGATCGTCTCCACCTCTTTAGCGAGGAGCAGCATCGCCTGGTGGTGCCATAAGACACCGTACCCAGAGTTGTGTGAATATTACATGCGGCATCACCACCCCCACCACCACCGCTTTGCACCAAAACACCTTCCTGAGTTCCGCAACATAATGATCCAGATAGCCATTAATCGAGCCCTCGTTGTGCGTAAGCAAGTTGCGGACTTCGGGGTTAATTGCCAAACCTGGAATCAGAAGGCTGCGTGGTCTGATTGTCTCAAGCTCTATGATAACACCATTCTTCAGCTGAACCAAACCTTGGAAGAGCTTGTTGAGGGAAAAAAGTGTACTGAGTTTGATGCGCAGACATGGCTCAGCACTGCATTAACCAATCTACAAACATGTCAAAGAGGGTCCATGGATATGAACGTCTCTAATTTCCTGGCGCCGATCACGTCTGACAACTTAACGGACTTGATTAGAAACAGTTTGGCCATAAACGGGGCTTTCTTGCATCACAAGAATTACACGCCCGAAGCATCCCCTAGTTGGCTTACGGAACAAGATAAGCGGTTTTTACTTTCCACATCGGTTAAGGGTAGTGCAAATCTTGTTGTGGCAAAAGATGGCTCCGGTCATTATGGAACGGTGCAAGCTGCCTTGGATGCGGCAGCAAGGAGGAGCTCGACCGGACGTTTTATTATCTATGTGAAGAGAGGTGTTTATAGGGAGAACATTGAAGTCGCTAATAACAATAATGATATTATGCTTGTTGGTGATGGTATGAGGCATACTATAATCACGGGTAGCAGGAGCATCAAAACCGGTTATACAACCTACAGTTCTGCTACTGCTGGTGAGAACATCCCAAGGACTACTTTTTTTAACTTTTCTTCGGTTTGTAATTAAACAGGTTCAAATTCAAAATCTTTTTGTGATTTCATATCCTAAGAGTAAATTTTTAGCTTGACTTTGTATTATTTTTTGCAATGCAGGCATCGATGGCCTTGGCTTTATGGCACGGGACATAACATTCAGCAACGTGGCCGGTCCAGCAAATGGCCAAGCCGTGGCTCTCCGTTCAGCCTCTGATCTCTCTGTCTTCTATCGATGCGCCATCCAGGGATACCAAGACACCTTATTTGTTCTCTCCCAGCGTCAATTTTACCGAGAATGTTACATTTATGGCACGGTAGACTTCATATTTGGCAATGCAGCCGTTGTCTTCCAAAAATGCATGATCTTCGCAAGAAGACCGATAACGGGACAGGCCAACATGATCACGGCACAGGGCCGCGATGACCCTTACCAGAACACCGGTATAACCTTCCACAATTGCCAAATTCTACCAGACCACTCCCTCACACCGGTTGTTAGCTCAGTCAATACATACTTAGGGAGGCCATGGCAGCAATACGCTCGGACGGTCATCCTCAAGACAAATATCAGCAACATGGTTAATCCGGCAGGTTGGTCGCAGTGGGGCAACTCTAATTTTGCTCTAGACACACTATATTACGGTGAGTATGGAAACTACGGACCTGGTGCTTCCACCAAACGGAGGGTCAGGTGGGAAGGTTTTCATGTTATAACTAACCCGAGCGAGGCATCTGCTTTTACCGTTACTAATCTTATCGCCGGCCAGTCTTGGTTGCCAGCGACAGGCGTGCCATTCACGGCCGGCCTCTGAAGCACGCATATATTATGGTTTATGAAAGGAACATTATTATTTGTTCTCATTTTAATTGATTATATTTCATTGTTACCAATTTTTTGTACATTCGTTTTAAGTATATGTACATTCTTATACATAATTATAGACTAATATTTCCATTACACTTTCCTCATGGTTACCAGACACTGGGGACTGGGAGTACCATTCACTTCTGACCCTTGAATTCCTCATGGTTCATTACCAATTTAATTTGTTTCATGAATATGTCTTGTTCATTCATTGTGAAATGCCTTCATGACAATGGGGAATGCCTGCAATTATGTTTAGAAAAACCTTCTGTTATGATCTTTGTGTATATATTTGAACTCTAAAGAACACCAAATAGGAGCAACTTGCCAGGGACCA